GAGAGGGAGAGAGAGGAGAGAGAGAGAGAGAGAGAGAGAGAGATAGAAAGCCAGATAGAGAGAGTGAGACAGGGAAGAGAAGATGAAGAGCTAGAGCGAGAGAGCATGAGCGAGAATATTAGAAACCGGTGTTTCTACAGATAAGCTTAAATTTTTAGTAATGATCGGTGCCCTCTCATCAATATCCTTCTCCTGTTTTGACGTAATGTATTGCGTCGCGTTTTACGTCGGAACCGACTACGTCTATTGGGGATTTTTGAGCCCACAAACCATGGTTACGGTATGTATTACTATAAAATCCGGTAATTTACTGAATTCAGGTCCTAATGACCGTCAAATTCGGGTCGTATTCACTTGGATATGTGATCCCTGAGATCGCGACTGTTATTAATGCGCTCGGGCAAGCTGGAGGGATTATGGAGATTATTGATTCGGTAGGTACTAATGGTTTTCTAGCTCTCGGTCTCTCTTCTCTTTCTCTCTCTCTCTCTCTCTCTCTCTCTCTCTCTCTCTCTCTTTCTCTTTCTCTTGCACCAGCCTCGTTTTCTAGGTCAGAACCCCTGAAGGATGCGAAAAGCCGCCCTTCATCTTGGGAAAAGTAGCAGTCAGAAATGTCCACTTCACCTATCCAAGTCGACCCGACGTACCAATTCTCAAGGTATCATTTTTGTCATAAATACTACTGTATGCCGGCGCTTTTGCTTGCTTATAATGCAGCAAGGTACCAGAAAGCAAGGTATGATTTTAGGGAATTTCCTTCGACTGTGACCCAGGCCAGACCGTGGCATTGGTCGGATCTTCCGGATCCGGCAAATCGACGATTGTCCAGCTGCTACTACGGTATTACCAACTGGAACTGGGACAGGTGTGCCTTAATTTTACCTTAAATCGACTGGGAATCCTTTTCCCATCCTTTTTGTGGCTAGATCTAGACAGTTATGCGCCTTGCCAAAGCGAAAAGGATCGATTTTGATAGTTTCCAGCTCCATTAAGATAACCATGTTATATATAGCAAGTTACCTCAACCTGGTCGTTAAACGTATTGTATTTACAGCTGACCATCGATGGTATCCCGGTAGAAGACTACGACATTGACTATTTACGCAAGATTGTGGGTGTCGTTAGTCAGGAGCCGGTGCTGTTCAACAACACTATCCTGGAGGTATGGCTCTGCCAAAAAGTTGACGAACAAATTGGATTTAGAACCTCCTCTTCGGCAACCCCAACGCTACCGACAAGGACATCAACTCGGCACTCAAAAAGGCGAATGCACTCGGGTTCATTAACGAGTTTCCGGAGGTAGGTTAAACTCATTAACTTTGGCGTTTTCGGTCTGACGTGTGAAGATCATTAGATATCGTTCAGTGTTCTGTAGCGTAGTAGCATCCAAAGGGGCCATAACGAAACGTAGCTTAGCGGACCGTAGCCTACTCTCGCGTAGTGGCATAGCGCAATGAATAATTTTAACTTTAGTGTAACGTCATTTAACAGAAACCTAGGGTCACCTTCCAAAATCGTAGCGAAGTCATAGCGTATCGTAGCGTAGCATCACTTATCGTCACTTATCTGGAGTCAAGCTGATTGCGTCGAAGTGTGCTTTAGTAGAACTGTTTTGAAGTAGAACACAGCTAGTGAAGCTACTGAAGTAGAACAGCGCAAAGCGTACTTTAGCAATTATGTATCTCTCGTGTAGCAGAGTTTCACACAGAGTTTCATCTTCCACAGCTTGGCGCGGCGTGGCGTAGCGTAGTGGAGTTCAAGACACATTACCTCGACCGACCATAATCTGATCAAAAATCGTGAGATTCATCGGCATCTTTAGGGCCTGAAGACCCTCGTCGGAGACCGAGGGACTCAAATGTCTGGAGGCCAAAAACAGAGGATCGCCATCGCCCGAGCCCTGCTGAGGGACCCAAAAATCTTGCTCCTCGATGAAGCCACCAGTGCTCTCGACGCGGAAAGTGAAACTGTCGTGCAGCAGGCCCTGGAAAATGTGAGTAAAAAGCGGAAATTCTATAGGCTAAAATCGACTTTTTTTTTCGACAAGCGAGGCCGGCTAGTAGAGAGTATTTGATCAATTTTCTCGAGGACGTTAAAATTTGGTTTTCAGGCCAGCCGCGGTCGTACCACAATTGTGATCGCCCATCGACTCTCCACCATTCGAAATGCCGACAAAATTGTGGTGATTCGACATGGAGAGGGTACGAAAGCTCTTATGTCCGGTAGTAAAAATCGTACTTTCAGTTGTTGAAACCGGACGCCACAGCGAGCTAATGGAAGCTAGAGGCCACTACTTCGATCTGGTCAACGCGCAAGTTTTCGCTGATGTCGAAACCACGCGTAAGTGCAGCAGAGGGCCTGGGTATCACAGCCTAGGTATTACATGACGTTAAAAGGGATAGTGACAGCAAATCCATCTCTATTTTCAGCTACAAAAACCAACTATCTACGCCAGCGTAGCAACCGATTCTCCACGGGAAGCGATTCGGTCGACGACAACGATCCGGCGCACAGAAATTTGGATACTATCGATGAGCACGAGTCGGAGATGGATCGGTTGAAAAGAGGTAGTGATCGGAATTGAACATCAACTATAATAAAAAAGTAAAGACGTCTGTGTGTGTGTCTGAAGCCGAATTCAACTCGAAGGGGAAAGGAGCTAGAGCTTAGCTCTCTTCGGATTCGGATAGAGCGTGGTCAGAAACCCCCAAACTGATAAACAAAATAATGAAAAAGTTTTTGTTTAAATTATTAAAATTAACTTTGAAAGTGGCGCCTTAATAAAACGAGTGGGGGCCCCTCTCCCGGCTGGCCACGCCCCCTTTCCCCGGCCCCTCTACACCAGGCCCTTGCCCGCGCCCAAATAGCTTTTTAAGTTACTTTAATACTTTTAATACTTTTTAATTATGCTAATTTATTATTTAAATTATTTACAGTATCTGAAGCCCCCAGGAAGGTATTTTGGTAGTTTTTTAAGGGGGTTTCGGCTGTGGGGGGTATCTGAAGCTCCCAGAAAGGTATTTTGGTAGTTTTTTAAGGGGGTTTCGGCTGTGGGGGGTATCTGAGGTTCCCAGAAAGGTATTTTGGTAGTTTTTTAAGGGGGTTTCGGCTGTGGGGGGTATCTGAAGCCCCCAGGAAGGCATCTAAGTAGTTTAGGTATGTAGTTACTTAGTTAAGTAGTTTATGATAGTTAGTAGTTAGGTAGGTAGTGACGTTTTTGCCGGGGGTTGGCTAGAGAAGGTTCTGAAGGTGGGCGTGGGTATAGATTAAGGTAGAGGTATAATGTGGTGGTGTAGAACATGGAGGGTAGCCCGAAGGCCAGTCGATTACAGTCGCGAAGCGGCTGTAATCGGCTGGTTAAGTAGTATACACTTTACCTAATACTACCCGCTAACACTTTTTTATATACTGAGAAACCGCCATTTTCTTTAGAAATCGAGGAAGAAGGCGTTGAAACCGTCGGCCTATGGAAAATCATGAAATATATTGGGCCCGAGATGAAGTTTTTCTGGATGGGGGTCATTTGTGCCAGCTTGGAGGTGCTATTCTACTGTACTTTTCGCATTATTAATTTTAGGGAACCCTATACCCACTTTATGGGCTCTTCTACACCAAGGCTTTTGAGGTAAGAGAGAGAGAGAGAGAGAGAGAGAGAGAGAGTGACAGTGAAAGAGATAAAGAGAGGCCGAGGGGGAGAGGGAGACAGTGAAAGGATAAAGAGAGAGAGAGAGAGAGAGAGAATGAGAGTAGAAATCATCAACTTTTTTAGATCTTTTCCGAGCCTGATCAAGAACTCATGCGATATCGTGGTCATATGGCTGCCCTGGCATTTTTGCTGATGATGGTGTTGGACCTAACGTTCCCGTCGTTAGGGGTACGGCAATTTAATTGTAGCCTCTTTTTCGATAGCTTTTAGCGTTGATTTTCATAGGGATGCTAACTTAAAATTAGCTAGAACATGCAATCTCCTTTAGGCAATCGGTTTCGGCGTCGTGGCGAGTCGTGTGACGGAGCGGTTGAGAAGCTTGGTGGGTCAAAAAAAAATTATATTAATACTGTCTTTAGTATATGATTAATTTTTTGATATAGCGATTTTTTAGACTTTTCGAAACGTGCTCAGCCAATCCGCCGCCTATTTCGATTCACCCAAGCATTCAGCTGGGAAAATCTCAACCCGATTGGCGACTGATGCCCCGAATATCAAACAGGTAAATAGAGTTTTAAGCTTTATATAATACGTATTTTGCGTTTTTATACGCACGAACGTGCCATCTAGAGTCAGTTTTAAGTCTCAATAATTTTGAACTCCTTCAGGCCGTCGACCTCAAACTCGGGCAACTCCTGCGTGGAATTGTCGCCCTGCTGGCCGGACTGGCCGGAGCTTTCTACTTCTCCTGGCACATGTCGTTGCTCAGTAAGTCGCGTTTGAGAGGGTCTTCTCCAAGAAATCGAAGCTGGCTGGACCCAACGATTTCGAGCAGTTCAGAGCTGCAAAAAGCTGAATTAACTGGCAGAGTTCGGTCTTTTTTTCACAAGGAAAGACTAGCAGAGACCATTTAAGGAGCCGTTTGTCTCTATTAGATGGCTTGTCTAAACAGAATTTATTTTCAGTGCTCACCATTATCCCGATCATCACCATCGCCGAGTACTTCTGGGAGAAGAGCTTTGGCAAGGATACGGTAGAAGATATGAGGCTGATGGAGGCGAGTGGAAAGGTAAGTAGATTTTATATTTTTGACCAAACACGCTACAAAATTCAATAATGATAATTTCTAGGTAGCAATGGAGTCGATAGAATCGATTCGTACTGTCCATGCCCTCTCTCTACAAGGCGTCATGCACTCGAAATATTGTGCACTGATCGAGCGGCCATTTAAGGCAAGTTATCAAGGTTTTTCTGGTTGGGCGAGAGAGTGAGCGCGTGAGCGAGAGCGAGAGAGAGAGAGAGAGAGAGAGAGAGAGAATGAGTCAGTTTCTTATTTCAGACCAACAAGCGAAAAGCCATCGTCCAAGGCCTAATGTCCGCAGTTTCCACCGGAATGCAACCCCTCACCGACGCTATGCAATACCGATTTGGGGCGTGGCTTATTGCCCGGAATATGATCGTCAACCCGTTTGATGCCTGGAGGTCCGGTTTTTTTTTACGAAATCGTGATTAACCATAAATTTTAAGAGCCCAATTCTGCCTACAGTACGCCTCATACGCCGTCGGCCAGGGCTTCATGTATTTCCCGGACTACAAGAAGGCCGAAATATTCCGCTGGGCTCCTCTTCAAGATGCTCAAGCAAGAAACGGCGATTGATGGGATGAAGCGGATAGGGTTTAAGGTATGTTCTTACAAGATGGCATTTTTGTTACTGGTTTGACGACGTCATAGAGCTATGAAATCACCCTTAAATTAATTTAACAATGGTGAATTTGCTGTAATAATGCCCTATGGTTTTCTTTCAAAATTCTTTCGGTCCAAAATCCTTAAAAAAGCGCCGTTTTTCAGTCCACGAGTGGAAAAGTGGAATTCGAAAGCCTCCGATTCGCCTACCCAGAAAGGAGCGATGTGGAGGTCCTGAAAGGTGGGTTACAAAACTTAACGGCAAAAAATTCTTAGCTAATTCTTAACCCGGAAGCGCAAGAAATGGCGAGTTTTAGGCGTGAGCTTCACCATCGAACCCGGTCAGACCGTAGCCGTCGTTGGGCCATCTGGATGCGGGAAATCGACCCTTGTCGGGTTGCTCCAACGATTCTACGATGTCGCTGATGGGGCTGTGGTGAGCTTCAGATGAAATGAGCTTTAGGGTTAATTCTGGCAATTCTCATTCCAGAAAATCGACGGTCAAGACATTCGAACTATGGGAGCGGCAGACGTTAGAGGTCAAATGGCCGTCGTCGCACAAGAGCCGATACTGTTTGACGATTCGATTAAGGTAAGCTTTTAACTGGTCCTTTTTTGCTTGTTCGTTCGCCTAAACCTATTTTTTTCAGAACAATATTATCTACGGCCTGGACGCAGCTACGGTAACTGAAAGCGATGCGGTGGAGGCTGCCAAGAAGGCCAATATTCACAGCTTCATCGCTGGGCTGCCACTTGGATACGATACTACCGTCGGAGATAAGGGGACGCAACTTTCTGGAGGTACTTGGGGGATGTCTCTCTCTCTCTCTCTCTCCCTCTCTCTCTCCCTCTCTCTCTCTTTCGCACTTGCTCCATTTAATCCCTCTCTTAGGACAAAAGCAACGCGTTGCCATCGCCCGAGCACTCGTCCGAAACCCAAAAATTCTCATTCTCGATGAGGCAACAAGTGCGTTAGATACGGAAAGTGAAAAGGTATCAAACTGCCAAAACTATCCATATACGCTGCATTGAACTGGCCATTAAACCCGGTCAACCCCTTCTCTAGGTAGTACAAGAAGCGCTTGACGCTGCCTCTGAGGGCCGTACCTGTCTGGTAATAGCCCATCGGCTGAGCACGATCCGAAATGCCCACAAAATTGTGGTGATGAGGGCTGGGGAGATTGTTGAACAGGGTAAGTCAGAACGATCAGATTTGGGTATAATCATCATCTTAAAGGTATCGGAAGATTAACAACCATTTCTAGGCAATCACCAAGAACTTATCGCCATGAAGGGAGCCTACTACCGATTAGTGTTGCAGCAAGAAAGGAGAAGGCACTCTACGGAAGGGCCAATCGAGGAGGAGATCGTTTTGGAATAAATTGTTGATTTTAACTGTGTGCAGGAAGCGAGAGAGAGAGCGACAGAGAGCGAGAGAGAGCAAGAGAGAGATAGAGAAAGAGTGAGAGAGAGCGAGAGAGAGAGAGAGAGAGAGAGAGAGAGAGGGTGAGACCGCGGGCCTGCGCGCGAAATCGTTAGAGGGAGCGTTTATTTCAATTTAATTGCTTTTTTAAGCTGGCGGCACTTATTTCCTGATCAGTATTTTTCATTCTATAGCCAACAGCTTGACGATCGTCTATGCATCTCGCCCTTAGCTAAAACGCCTCTTCGATGTACATTTCAGGCCGAAAGCGGTACGTTTTAGCCCCTTAAATTACAGGGTGTCCCAAAAAAAACGACCCATCTGGCATTTCGCCGTGTTACATCCAACCGGCCCCAAATTTGGACCAGAGGTGTATCGGACCTTAAATAACACCAATCCTGACTTACAGCCCCATAGCTACAGTAGTTTTAAAGTTATAACGAAAATACTGTTTTTTCCGGAATTTTGAACAGTTTTATCGGCTATCTTTTTGGACTTTGCATCGATTTGCATCGACTTCCGGCTGCGAATCCCTAATTTCGCTTAAGAACTGGGGTAGTTTTGCGTTGTAAAAATTGCTTAAATCGAAGCTTATTTAATTAATTTTACTCTGGAAAAAATTTCTTACGGTAAAGAAGGCCTACCGGATCATTTTCACTTAATGTTTAGGGGGCCGAATTCCACGGAAACCCTATGAAAAATGGAAAATAAAGTTTGTTTTTGCTATAACTCGAGAACGCCTGTAGCTACGGGGCTAAAAGTCAGGATTGTTGTTATTTAGGGTATGATACACCTCTGGTCCAAATTTGGGACCGATTGGATGTAACACGGCGAAATGCCAGATGGGTCGTTTTTTTTGGGACACCCTGTATATCCGAAAATCGATTTCATGCCGTTCACACCATGCCGTTCTTTTAGAGAAGAAGAGTTCAATGGTATTCATCATGCCTCCATGTCCGGCAAATCATACTGGTGGCTAATAAAGAGCAGATTCAATCCTACCTTATATAATTTTGGCGTGTATCTCTGTGTGTGTGTCCGGCGCCAGCGAGGGTTACTTTGCATAATTCCAAAAATTACAAATTTCCATATTCTTGCAAGTTGCACGCAAGCTCTCCGAAAACCAAATTTCTCATGCAAAGGCCGCATTCCAGCGCCCAAGGCCCGCGAAGCGGGTTTTGGGCGCTGGTTCATAATAAAAAACTGCATGAACCAGCTGCTGCATAAATTCCACGGTTTCTGGAGATCTCCCGGCCTGCCTTGAAAATTCAAAATTTTGTAGCTAGATTAAAAAAAGGATCGCTTCTTTTTATCCACAACTATATCCTCCCGCTAAAAAGCGGCAAAAAGCCTACGACACTCGGGATTCCCAAGCCGTCTCCGATCCAAGTACTAACCGAGCCCAACGTTGCTTAACTTGGCAGATCGGACGGGATGCCGTGCTTTCAACGTGGTATGGTCGTAGGCGAACCGAGATCGGGGAGGGAGGGTAAAGTGTTGGGGGTGCGGAGACAGGGATAGAGAGCAGAGGTCCGAGACTGCACGACAGGCGAACCGACAGAGCCTGGTAGTGGAGATACCCGAGAAACCGGTGTTCGCTTTTTGGAGGGTTGCCCGGCGAGAGGCTGGCATCTACTACCAAGCGAGGTCAGAAAAGCAGCCACCCCTCCACAGCTTCGGTTTAATTACCCAAGTTTGAGGTTAGCATTAACCCCGAGACCTCCTCAAAAGAGTGTTTCGAACAAATTTTGGAACGCATTCCCCCATAGGGAGTGCACAAAGAAATGTTAGTACTGCTCTTCTCTCGCAGCCAGGAGAGAGAGAGAGAGTGAGCGCACGCGAACGAGAAACCTCGCATCCCTCCTTTTGCGTATTAGCAGGGTCCCCGCTACCGCCCGGGACCCCTCACTCAAAAATTGGAAAGTACACGATCCCTTATTGGGGGATGGTGTTGTGGTTCAGCCTGACCGGGGAGTGCAATGGCCGGGCCTCATCACAGAATCTCCTCCTTCATGATCGAGGATCATCACTTCCAGGTAGGTTATCCAAACACGGGTACTGTAGATGGTCAATCAAAATAGTGGGCCAGCCGAGGAAAGTTTGCGGGACCGCCAGTAGAATTTCTTACTTGCATGCAAAGCCCAGGGGTTGACAAACAGTCGGACCGGGCCGGGCCGGGCCCGGGTTTTTGTGCCGGGCCCGTCGGGCCCGGATCGGGCCCGATTTTGATGATTTTTAGGCCATTTTTGCGAATTTTCGGCCAAAAATCGAAATTTTTTTCAATTTTTTCGGAATTTTTCCAAACTTTTTTAGGTTCTTTTTGTTAGGTTTTTGGCTCTAAACCCTAATTTTCAATTTTTTTTTCCGGGAGTTGCAGGCTAGGTTACTAGGGCCGGGAATTGTGATTCTTTATGCCTTAATGGACTACAGGGGCATAGCCAGAAAAAATTTCGGGAGGAGGGCCCAAAAAATTTTTCCAAAAAACTCAAAACATTTAGACAAGAAAACAGCGCGGCAGGCAAAATTTTTTGGAAAGAAAGGGACATAGCTCTACAAATAGCCCTAAAAACTTGAAAATAATAGCGCCGCAGGTAGCAAAATTTTTGAGAAAATAAAAATCATAAGGGTCCCCGCTTATGAAATTTTCGGGACCGATCTTCGTTTATCCAAAGGATCTCTGAAAACCATAGTTCGATATTTCACCAAAAAAACGATACAATGCATCTACAAAACGATCAATAATGGTTATCCGAGCGTTGCCATTGGCCGGATCCGGCATGTTTGTATTTTGAAAATACAGTTTCTAATGTTTTTATATTTATTAATAGTTAGAAAATAAGAATAGTTGATAGTTATTAGTTGTCTATATTAGATAGTATGATAGATAGTTAGTTTATACTTAGATTAAAAAACTTGGGTCTTAGTGGAAAAAAATTTTTGACCCCCGCTCTGACCCTAGGTGTCTGACCGGGCCCAACGGCCCGGCCCGGGCCTTGGATTTTGGCTTCCGGGCCGGGCCGGGCCGGGCCTGGGGTCGGCTGGGGACGGCTTCCGGGCCTCGGCCCGGCCCGGCCCGGCCCGTTGTCAAGGCCTGGCAAAGCCTTGGTATCTACTCGGCTGCGGAAACGTCTTCCTTTTTCTGTCGGTTTCTACATCTTGCAAAGCACGAGTGGTTGAGGCAGATACATGGGTTAAAGTGATCAAATTCAATATTAATGGTTGTGGTCGGCTCCCTCTACCTAGGCAGCGCCATTCTGCGAAAAGCACCTGTTCCAAGCCATGATTTACCTCTCCATAAATTGCGGTCTGCTACCATAACATGTTCAACCCCTCGTCCGACGAGATCAAGTATATCGTAATCGCGTGCGATTTGGCTTTTTGTTTTGCTACTGTCTGTTTCTTATTGGCGTTTTATCTTCTTTATGAGCACAGAGCTACCACGAAATTTTATAAGGCTTTGCAGATGAATTTGTTGGTAAGGTAGACTTTAATTAGAGCGAGAGGGGAGAGAGACAGGAGAGAGAACGAGTGAGCGAGGAAGAGAGCCAGACAGAGAGGGAGAGAGACTGAGAGAGCGAGAGCGAGAGAGTGAGAGAGTGAGTGCGAGAGAGCGAGAGAGACGGACATCGAGATACACATTTTTATTCAGATTTCATGTCAATTTCACGGAATATTGCTGGTCATATCCAAGCCCATAGCCATGCCGCCCTACCTAGTTTTCAAGCAGCTTGGTGCCAATTTTAGCGTCGAATGGGAGATTATACTAATGGTAGGCTACAATTACCCTTTGAATTTTGAAGATTACGTAACGAGATTCGTATGAAGCGCAACGCAACAAGTGACGCAGCACGCAAAGTGCGACTGCTTCGGAGTAGCGGTGTGATCTATAGTCACGCGTACTCGAGCGTGCCTTATTGGTAGTTTTCTCTGGTTTTGTTCAAATTTTAGGTCCCTGATGTGCTACTCGTCAATTATATCGGCTCATCCGTTCTTTTCAACGGCGTCTCAAAACGAGAAGCTGTGGAAATGGGGAGCAGCGGTTGGCTCTACCGGATCGCCAAGGCGATGATTATAATGTGCTTATTGTTATATTTTGGAATGGTGATCTACTATTTCATTGAGATGTACAGTAATCGCAAATATCACAAGGAAGCAGAGGTGGATTGTTTCATTTCGTAATTAAGAAAAGTCGGAGACATTTTTCAGTTTTTTTCAAATTTTTAGCAATTTGAAAGCGCGAGAATCGGTTTTATTTGCATTACAGTATGACGTTATTCAATGTGCCGAAATTTTATAGTGTGAAAATTTGGTTCTTTAGGATTTCGGGGAAAGTATTTCCGGGGGAAACCAAATTTTTTCCTGGTTTTCCCGGTCGACCTAGTAATCAAATAGAAAGTGTTTTCACATTGTTTTTAGTAAATTTTAACTATATTTAAAGTAGAAAAACCTTTCAAAAAAGTTAGAAAAATGTTTGAAAAAGTCGAAAATTGGTCATTTCGGGTCTTTCCCCCGCCCGCTAATCCTAAAGGTTCTATAAGATTTTTCGACCTAAAATTAAATTTTTTAATTAAAATGTGGGTAGTTTTTATCCTCAGGAATAGTTAAAAACCATTTAGAAACGCATGCGCTATTTAGAAAAAAATTTACGCTTTGGCCGAAAAAATTTGGTTTCCCCGGAAATCCTAAAGAACCGAAAATTTCATAATGTCGACATTTTTTATTGCCGAAATTTGATTATGTCCGCATTTTTGCATGCTAGTAGGGATTTTTGCGGGAATTTATTCATGTAAATTACGACCTTCTGACACTTCGTAGTTTTGATGTTAGGAATTTTCGGCCTCGTGACTTTTGGCATTTTTCAAGAAACTCACTTTCGATACCAAATTCGATCGATAAGCCGATTGTAAAGCTTTCTAGCCCCTTTAACCCAATTGCTCAGCTCTGGTCCCGCATCCCCGAACTGCTCGGTGACGGGCGGGCGCTCGAGTTCGAGATGCCCGACGAGGAAATCGTGCTGCTTGCAAAATTCGTCAGCACTTTCATCGTGTGCTTGATCGGTCTCTACGCCTACGCAATCAAGGAGGTCTTCTACGACGGCTACTTCAAGCCGTTCGTCAGCAACGAGTCGAAAAGGTTACGGCGTATGCGAAGAATGTTCGCCAACGTCTTCTTGTCACAATTACTGTCGACGCTGGTGTTCGTCTACGCGCCAGCCGGATGCTTTATGTTTATCATCTTCGGGTGGGGGGACTGGGCCTGGCTGGAGATAGGTATCGTTCTTTACGCAACCCACGAAAATTTTTTTGCATAGTCGGCGGCGGTCTACTGTTTCTACTCGGGTTTTTGCACTCGATATCCAACAGCCTTACGATCGTTTATACCTCGCGCCCAAACCTGAAGCGAACCCTCCAAGCTGTACTTCCGTTCAGAACGGTAGGCATCATCTACAAACAAAAATATATGGCTAAAAAATTGGCCTTTAATATTGAGTCATGGTTGGCAGCTACGTTACGCTCCAAAAGACGTGGAAAACGCAGAGTATTGCCGCGGAATCTAAACCAGAAAATGTAGCGCTAATTCCTTATTTTTAGAGCCAACGAAACTTTTCGATAATGGTCGCAGAGAAAGCATCATATCTCCCCAATACCGCCAAGCGAACATCGAAAAATGGAATGAAATGAGTGCTTTATCGGTTTTCCCTGCAACTTCTTGTTATCGCTTCCGGTTCCTTACAATACCTCCCATAC